TATACAAACAAACCAGGCCTTTAGCTTACTTAAAACTGATAACAAAAAATTATAGTATGACCGCAAAAAACACACAAATCTGTGTAATTAGCTGATTAAGATAAGTTTCCAAAATAGTACATAATAAATGAAAATTCTAAGTAAAATTAAACTAGGTCTCCCACAGTGAAAGCATTTTATTTGTGACACTACATTGTGGTACAGACATAAATGAAATAAATTAATAAGGAAATAATTTTTGCAAAATATGTGCATACATATTCCTATATGTGCATATGTATGTTAAAAAAATAACTTTTAAAAACTAAAAAACCATCAGTATAAACTGTAGGTCCCTCCATTTGTTGGAAAAGCATCAAGACGCAAAACCACAAATTGGAGGAGGAGTACGGCAAAAAAACCACTTCAGCGGTTACAAAGCGCCAAATATATACAATACAATAATTTGATGCGTAATTCGTTTGCTGTACGCAAAAACGCAATTTGACATCTCTTGTGAAGATTTCATATCAACATTATTTTGGTATGGAGGTAGCAGACCAAAATAAACCATGGGCCCCACACATACATATGTTGCATTTTGTGTTCAGTTTTATTACGAGATTTGCTGTGAAAAAACCGATGCATGGCTTTTGCTGTGCCTATGATTTGGCGAGAGCACATTAACCACATAGACATTTGCTACTTTTGCTTGACTCCGTCTATAGAAGCAGAATTGTTAATGAAAGAAAATGTTAAACAACAGAATCTTCTCTTAACTACTCGACCTATTCCACATTCAGACAGTTTACCAGTTCCTACACCACCCCAGACTTATGAGTTGAAAGAAGAAAATGAAAACAGTGTAGAATACGATCTCAACAAGCCTTCAACATCTCTTGACCCACATTTTAAAGAGCGAAAAGTTGATCAACCGCATAAATTGAGTCAATCGGAGCTGAGATTTTGACTCCAAATGAATGGAAACTTTTCATAGACTCCTCCAAGCTTAGATTGAAAGTTGTGTTGCTTTATAATGGCAATCGTCTACCTTCCATTACTATTGGCTAAGAGGTTCACATGAAGGGGACTTACGAAAACATGACAGACCTCTTAGATTTCATCAAGTACCTGGAATATGTGTTTAAAATCTGCGGTAATTTAAAAAATTATTGCTATACTCTTAGGGTATCAAAATACTGTTGCTTTTTATCTATGTGGGTTAGCAGATTCTCCTGCAATAAATCTTAACTATAGTGAGAAAAACTTAATTGCCGAGCCTCGTGTAGATCCAAAAAAAATTTCCATTCAAACCCATGAACGGAGAAGGCAAGGCTTTTAAATACTTAAGAGATAAATTTCTTAAATTGATTGGTAAAAAGGTCAAGAAGACGGTGATAAACATGTAGACGGTTCCAACAAGATGTTTCTTGGCGAAATTTCAGATTTTTTGCGATCGGTGTATTGTTGCTGTGTGTACACAAAAGCTCATTTTACTCGTGTCGTCGAGCGGTAAACATCGCTGAAGAACAGGACAAGCGTGAATATGTTGAAGTAAGCGAGAAGTGCAATCACATTATCCGCTTGTTCGTCGTACATGCTTACTTTCAAAAGAATGACCATAAGATGGCTTGTCATGCCGGGTATGGCGTGTATGTATGGCGATTTCATACCGACCGAAAACACTTGTATGTAGGGTAAAAGGCAGATTAGTAGCGCTGATAATTGTAGTTGCCATTCGAATGTATTGATCAATTTTGCGAATAAATTTACCTCGAATTCTAAAGTTGATAAACTAAGAATTAAAATAAAAACTTTAGGAATGATAGGTATGTACATTTGTACAAGACAATATACCAGAAATTATTGCATAATTGCATAATTGCAAATTCCATAATATGATACACACCACGTTCGTATTCGATTGTCACCATATATTTTTGCATGTTTCTCGCTTTCCTTTCATCGGTGTCTTCAGTTTTGGGAAGAGGAAAAGTCAGCGGGGACCAAGACCGGTACTATCTTAATGTATTGCATTTTATCTTTTTATTAGTCGTTATTTTCTTTGTTCCATCGCTTGATTTTTATCACAAGAGTAAATTTGAGCAACTACTTTTTACAGCTTTTTTAATTGTGGATAGAGTTAAAGAATTCCTTAAAAGTCTCAAATTTTATTATAGGAGATTATTACAAAATTAAGTAGTGTTTGCAGCAATTTAAGGATTCAAAATGAATCACTTACATACTTATTTTACTGGCGTAGACACCTGTAACGCGATTATAGCCGAGTTAAAAACCTTGGGCTATTCGTTTCTTCTTTTTGCTTTTTGGCGCCAATTGGAAATACCAAGTACAGTCAGGACATTCTCTACCTGGTATTTCCGAGGTCTTCATCTTACTTTGCTTCCACCGGCGGATACTGCATCGAAAACTTTCAAAGCTGGATTATTCGTTTCTATCTGGATCACATTGATTCACTGAAATATATGCCGTATAACTTGTGTAAATCATCGTTCCATCGTCTGCGTTATTTGCCGTTGCCGATGCGGAAAGGACCATAAATCTTATGAAAAATCTTTTCCTCGAAAACTCCAAACTCCAACTCTTCAGATGTTGCATCGTCCATGCGTCCGCAATATATAGCACGGCGGAAACGATGACAGACTTGCAGAGTTTGGTTTTCGTTCGTTGGGGAGGACTTTACTTTTCAACTTTACTTTGCTTACTCAGTTCAAAGTAACACCAATAATGGCAATATCATCGGCGTACGCCAGCAGCTGTACACTCTTATAAAAGATTGTACATTCCCTATTCAGTAGGTTCGAACGGATCGGAGCTTTTAGTGTTGCTCAAGGATACCAAATTCAGACATAGCGACGTAAAGGCAGCTCCCATTCATGCTAACGAAGGCGGCTTTAAAACCTACGAAGAGATGGTGGCTGTCAATTCTCTTTTCAAGGGTCTTTTCCCAGACTTGGCGCATGGTGAATATTTGATCAATGGTTGACTTGCCAGGCCTAAAGCCACACTAATAAGGTCCAAACAGATTGTTGACGATAGTCTTTAGTCCTTGATCGTAAGTCAACGATATGTTGAAAAATTTCGTTTTGATGCGGATTGTGGCTCACCCAGCGGGGTGAATGCCAGTATTCGACAACGGAGTCTCTCTTCTTCCACAAATCCGACACCAAATTTCCGCTGCTTTATATGGCCGCTGTAGTAAATGTCACAAAAACCTACTCGCTTTGGTCCTTGCCACGTCCAACGCACTTTTTGGACTGGTGAACAGACGCTACAATTAGACTTCCGCGGATCATTAAACCGAATTAGTCTGAGCGGCTCCAATTAAGCTTCCTCTCTTATTAGTCATGACCCAAGGCTCCACACGGGTTGGTTATCACATTTTGCACAAGGGTTGATCACGTTTTCAGGATGTGTGACTTGGACGCAAGAATAGGAATTCAGTATACCCTCGCAACTATAACGCGTACCCAGAAGTATGACTACACTCCATTACAGCCCAGATCAACACGTTTGATAATATAAAGATAGTTCTTCCAGTAACATAATTTTTTCAAACCAACTGACCATTATAGTCTTGATGGACTTAGTGTTAAAACCCTGCAATACCTGATGAGTTTTTGACATGATTTGTGGTCTAGGTAAGTTGTATGAAAATCCAGTCCTATACATTTCAAGTACATATTAGGCAAATACCTGTGGTGGTCATTTATATCTGTATGTAATAGTTTGTGTTATTATACCGCATGGTAAATGGAAAGTTTTAACTTTGAAAAATTTATTAGCAAAACGGAGGAAGACTTAGGAAAAAAGTATGGATTTTTCTACCCTTTCTCTTAAAATTCGAAGATGCAACGTTGAGCTAAGGCAGTGTCAAAGTCACTTCATACTCTACTAGTGCTTTTTTCAGCTGGTAAAGATGACTAGATACGAAACTTACTCAAAATCACTCAAATTGCATCTGAGAGGGTTCACCCATCTCGCATGTAATTCACTAGAAATTTGTTTCACTAGTCAATATTAAAGAAATTATTGTAATTTTCTTACTTAAACTTAGTGTTATTAAATATTGCATTGTTTCTCAACGATATACTTTAGTGAAATTGCAATTTTAATTTGTGGTTTTGCGTCTTGATGTTTTTCTAACAAATGGAGGGACCTACAGTATATACCAAGCCGCCTCCGAATGGCTGATGGCTTTTTTACGAGGAGCCTTTATTTCATGACAGAGGAATGGACATTCCCTGCTAAGGGAGACCGCAATTAGAAAATTTATCATAATTTATTATTTAAATTAAATTTCTATAACTTTTGGATGTTGGTCGCACGAAGATTTGAACCTCGGCTACCGCGTCCGCCATACGCCGCAGTTTGTAATAAAATACCTAAAATTCTCGCAGTGAACAGTTCCAAAATGCGGATATTAGAGCACTCCCACGAAATAAAGAGTTTCGTATCTAGTCATCTTTGTCAACTGGTTATTATTTCGTCATGAAGTAGAAGAGAGCAAACACATTTTCTTGGAACACATTTTTTTAAATAGAATACCCTATATATATATTGTACATATGTTGTATATTAAATCATGATCTCATATATTATTTTAAAAATTTATGTTTATCTCCAAGGCAAATTCACATATGGTAGTAGCAAGAATACAAAATCCAAAAGCCTGTGTATGTTGTTTGAGTAAATGTTTGGATAATTTGGTAAAATGGAATGAAAAGCAAGCAGCATGTGATAAGACATTTTCACCTTCTACCCGTTCGCTTTGGTTTTTCTCATGTAATTTTAAAAAAATAATGATTTGAAAACTGATTCTTAAAAAGTCATATAGTTTATATTAATTATGGTACTATTGTGGAAGGAATGAGCGTTATGTACATACATATTTACGTTTAAATTTGTATGGAATAAGTAAGTGCATATTGCAAGCTTTGAATGACAATGATAAACTCAACAATTTTCATGGAAAAATAGAAACTATTCTTAAAACTTACCTATCGATTCGGGAACTCCTAAAATAACTAAAGATTTTTTCAAACGAATACGTTCTTCCTCTAAAGTGCTAATTTCGTCTGCCATATTTTTAATAGTAGTCTCAAGCGTAGTCTTCCATTTGCCCACCAGTTGAGCACGTTGCGTTAAATTTTTTGTAGTTTCCGCCTGGGTCTTTTCCACCATATTAGTGAGTCGCATGAAGGTTGTTTTCGAGCTGTATTGATTTCTGTTAAAATTCAAATTGAAATGTAGATATGTTTGCAAATTTCGAGGTAAATATACATACTTAATAGCTCTATCGAAAATATCGTTGGTTTTTTGTAAAGTCTCTTTATTCTTTGCGCGCCATTCATTAGGACTAAAGCGGGTTATTGAATAACGGTCTACGACTGGGCGTGTGCCCGTTAGACCAGCCATGGGGCTCCAATCCACTTTTCCTGTAGCCCATGGTCCTACAGGTCCCATGGGTTTAAGTAAATCCTTAGAAGGGAGTTCATCGCCCGGTTGTGGAAGATAGCATGGTGGGTTATCGAACTCATCAGCCTTCGGGTTGATTACAAGCTTGAAAAATTATTTTTCAAAAATATTTGAATATAGTCGTTAAAATATATTTTTATGAGAAATAATTACAGCGACGTTCAACTCTTTGCTTTCTGGTAGTTGTAAATCTGCTTTCATTGGGTCGCACTCATTGTTTGTGGTAAGATTCTGAAAGATGTATGTACATAACTTATCTTGCTTGTAAAATAAAGGGTACTGATTTTAACATACGCTCGCCACCGGCTCCATATATTGGATATTACAATTGTCGCCTTCCATTAAAGAATTAAATTTTTAATACAAATATGTTCGTTTATACTGAATTTCACATAAAAAAATACAATGAAACAATTCCAATTTTTATCGAAACTTAAGTTTTTCTTTAGTTTTATTTTGACGAAGTCAACATTTTATTAGGTAACTATGCCGTTAAAATTAACGCATGCTTATGAACTCGGCTTCCCCAGTGTTTCTATGGCGATCTCCCAGTAAGGAACTCGTTTACCTTACAAATGAACATGGAACCGAGATAAAAGCTTTCATTTCTTTAAGGCCTCATTTTAACACTAGCGTGCGATAGGAGGTATTACCTTTGTAAGCAAGCTGTAAAATAACTAATAATAAATAATAATAATTAAGAAAAGGGCGAAAGTAAAAAATAAAGACTTCTTAGAAAGGTAGGAAGAACGTTGAACATTTTATTATAGAAATGGGAACGGGATGTTTGAACATTTTAGTATGTTGGGATCCCAACCCAGAGGACAAACCTAATATGGGCGTGCAAGTGACTCCATTTAATGGCTTGGACAACGCTTATGAACGTCTTTATATTTACTATATACTGTCGAGGACCTAGATTTTTATAGATAAGTTTTTTGTCATACATATTTACATTGATTCCATTCCATATGCATATGTATGTATGTATGTGTATACGAGTATAATGCATAAAAAGCTGACTTGTTAATAATAATTCTTCACTTGTTAATCCACTAAAGGTTTAAAGATTGGTAACAAGCATATTCCTACAATAAGAGCAGTAGTAGATCGCTATAATATAACATTCAGTTTTCATAAAAATTCTTATTTTTATTACTGATAGCGAATGTCAATAGAGTCGAGCGTATTTTTGGCATGAAATAAGAGCTTTTCATACCAGTCCATTCATATAATCAGCATTCGTGAAGGGAAAAGACAGCACTTCCTCTCTTGACCTTTTCTTTTAACGATTTTATTAATATCGATTTTAGTATTAATGCTTATAAAGGGTGATTTTTAAGAGCTATAGGAAAGTAAAAAAAAAAAACACATAAAATTCAATAAAATGATTAGTCTTTATTTGAATCGATAGAACGGTCCATATAATTTAATGTTTGAAAATTATTTCATGGAAATGTTGAAATTGAAAATGTCTAATTTCGGTATACCCTTTCCAACATTTCGGCCGGTATCTCACGAATTAATGCTTGAATGTTGTCCTCCAATGCGTCATTTGAAGCGGGTTTGTCTGTGTAGACATAAGATTTAACATAGCCCACAAAAAATAGTCGAGAAGCGTTAAATCGCACGATCTAAGCGGCCAACTGACCCGTCTCGAACGTGAAATAAAATGTTCACCGAACTCGCCTCTTAATAAGCCCATTTTTACGCGTGTTTTGTGGCATGAAGCACCGTCTTGTTAAAACCACAAGTCAAGCTCTTGAATTTTGGGCAAAAAAATGTTTGATCGTTGCGCTCACCATTCACAGTTACATTGCAATTTGCATCATCTTTGAAGAAGTACGGTGCAATGATGCCAGCAGCCCATAAACCGCACCAAGCTGTGACTTTTCTTCTGACTGATCTTCTCTACAAAATCGACAATTCTGATTATTTGCGGGTACATTGGTAGCTCTTGCAATGCCTCTGGCTGATCTTCTCTCCAAAATCGACAATTCTGATTATTTGCGCACCCATTAAGCCAAAAATGAGCTTCGTCGCGGAACACAATTTTTCGACAAAAAAGCGCGCGATGAACTTTTTAACAGAGCACGCATTTAAAAAAATAAAATTCAATAATTTGCCAGCCTCGTTCGATTGTGAGACGATTAATGATTAAATTATAAACCAAACTAAATGGTCTCGGATGTTTATTCCAATGTAAATAGGAAGATATACCTTCATTAATGGTACAAAATATCAGACAAATGGCCGTAACGAGTACGCTGGCACAACTCTTTATAAAAATTTCCATCACCAAATCGGCTGCTATATTATACCCTCAATAGCTAGTTGAATTCCATCTTGGAGGTCTAGAATCGACATTAGCCTGTTGGCGTATACCTTATATTTCACACGGTCCCAAATGAAGAAGTTGCAAGGTGTTAAATCACAAGACCTTGGTGGCCAATGGCGATCCCCTCTTCGAGAGATAACACAGTCCGGAAATGTTTCCCTTAAAATATCGATGGTTTTGTTCCTTGTGTGGTATGTAACGACGTCTTGTTGAAAGTAGACGTTGTCCAGATGAATATCATTAAATTTCAGCTACAAAAATTTATTAATCATAGTCAAGCTTCTAGGTATGCAGTTACATTCGCGGGACTATTCTCAATTCCTACTCTTGGGTCTTGCGTCGCGCACCCTGAATTCATGTGTAACCCTTAGGCAAGATGCGGTAACCAATCCGTATTTTAATGTTCACGATTTGAGGGCATGATTAGGAAAGAAACGCTGCCCAGCTGATCGATGTTCTCGTTGAATTAAAGGCTGATATCACCGCCGACCGGACAGAAATGAATATATCCCTGAGAAATTTACTAATGCAAACATATAAAGGAGCTCAAATATGGTGTCGGATTCATTGTGGAAGAGAGACTCCGATGCCCAGTACGTCTCACCACGATCCGTATTAAAGCAAATTTTTAAGATATCGCTGATTTAAGTTCGTGACCCAGTGGAAAGGAAAAACGATGTGATTTAAGAGGGCCTGGAGCGTCGTCATAAGCACCGCCCTCTTAACGATGTCAAGCTTGCGCTTCGGACTTTAATTGAAGAGATAAGTAAGCGCAGACGTAACAAGCAAAAGGCCGAGATGCGTGCGTAAAAAGAGCTTGAGAGGTTGGCTGACGAGGGTAATACTAAAAAAATTCTATGATGCGCAGAGTATAGTAAATTTATAGAGGGTATATTTCTCCAGCCTGCTGAATAGTAGTAAAAGTGGAACACCAGATGACAAAAATGTTTAGTATTTTTTTATGACTAAATAAAATAAATTAGCGCTCTATAATAAAAATTACAATGGTAAAGATCTTAGATAATAGACCGCAAACCCTCAGCCACTGTTTGCTAGCTGCAAAGACTGTTTCCGAAAGAACTCGCTGCCGACGGTCATAAATGTGATTTTGATTGTAGAGCCTCCAAAGTAGGAAAACTTAGCTTCTATTTCCAGTTTGAGCTCACAGCTGTGATCACCTGATCAATTTCAATTTTCATGATTGCATGAATAATTTTGACAAACCTTAAAAGAAACAGAGAAGGACAATTAGGCAAAGCAAAGAGGGAGTTAAGTTACTTGATAGACTCAAAGACAAAGATTTTAACTTACGGTTCTCCCACCAATCGGTGTAAAACTGATAAATGATTAATATAATATTAACATTTTCTGGAAAATTAAAAATAGATTTTTTAGAACAGTCCAATTTTATAAAATATTCTGGCTGTACGCTGCGGCCCTTCGCTGTCGCACATACTCATTGAATGTATGAAAAATTAATAATGGGTTGGCTTTTACTCTATACCTGGGGGAATACAAAATTTTTAGTTTTGCCATTGATATTGGTACACTTTCTGGAAAGAAGAGTAGTCTTTCTGGTAATCTAATCAAAAATACACCAATGTACAATAAATAAACTTTTTTGAATAAGTCAGTCCCTGGTCCACTTTCCGTAGAGCAGTGTAGACTTCCTTTTGATCTAAATAAAAGACCACGTAAATATACCGAAATTTAAGTAAAAAGAACCGTAAAAATGACGTTTTGAATAGGTCAGTCGCTGGTCCACTTTCCGGAGACAAGTGTAAGGTTTTTTTTTTTAACTTAAGCAAAAAAACCCCTATGTACCGAATTCAAGTAATTTGAACCAAAAATAAGATTTTTTCGAATAGGTCAGTCCTCGGCCCACTTCCCGAATTTTTTGTTCTTGTAAACCTTTCCAGGAATCATAGAAAAATCTGACAAAATTTTAAGTCAATCAGTCTGAAGCTTTTGGAGATTTTTGGACATTTCTGGATTTTTCCATGTTGACATAAGATTTTTATATATAAGATGATAAGCGCAGCGAGAGGGGTTTTGGGTTTTCCAACACATTTTCGCATGCCTCAACAAAATTTTCTACACCATATTACTTTGCAAATCTCTTATTTCGGCCGCCACTATAGTAATAATTAATATATTTTATCAACGCTGCTCAAAAATGTTTATTCTGATACCTATATGAATATACTTCAATTATTTTATAGCAATTTTCAGCTGCCAGAAGACTGGTGCATAAATAATTGCAGAAGAGGTTGCAATTCTGTTGAGTATTAAATTTAACTATTCTTGAGTTTTCTTTAATACATACATATCTACTAAAATTTGTACAAAAAACTCACATAAGGCTTAGCCGTTTAGTGAAAAAATTGTACAACGTATATATGTATGTATGAATCTAAAATATTTTCCTTACGCCACATTTTCCAAATTCTGGTAAAAATTTTATGGGATTCTGTGAAGCTATTCTCGAGTTATAAGGTATGTGAACTAATTTTTAACATTATTAGAATTTTTAAGCATTAATTATTTAATTAGATAATATTTCCGTTTTTCCAAGGTATATAAATTATAATATATGTATTTAATGATTTAAAATATGCCAACACTAAATAAATTAAGTTAGCTCCAACAATATTTTTTTGATATTCCTTATACCTAATTTTCTATTCCCACGTTTTCAAAAAAAATCGTGTAAAAAGCAAATTAGGGGTACTGGTATTTAACAGTATGCTAGCAACTATAGCAACACCTGAGCAGAAAAGTTATGTATTACCCAGCCGGAAAAATAATAACTAGCCACGAAATCGGTTAGAACAAACAATACAATAGTCTGAGTTAAGAGGACAGAAAAATAGTTTTAAGTGCCTTCAAGACATAACAGAGAAACAATTTGCTTTGTTGCTCCTTTTCTCCATGAAAGTGATATAATTCCTATATATCAATTTGTTTTTCGTGGAAAGCATGGTACGATAGAGCAAGTCAATTGTATAACAACGAATAAGAAAAAAAAGAAAAGCATTCGAACTCAAAGATTATAGCTCGGCCTGTTTTTTTTGTTGTGGCACAAACATTTGACCACACCTAGATGGATTTATTTATAAAACCAGACAATCATTACCCAATGTAACAATTAATATCATAGTAACCACTCAATATCATGAGTAACCAATAACGGCAATTACCGCAAGTGTTTCGGAAGGTAGTGATAATGGGCCGTATGTATGTATGTACACGTATATACTATCCAAGATAGTTTTTGCTAAAAGTGACAAAAGTAACCACGTCAACTTTCGCGGATGATAGTGCATTATTAAGCCGGCACAAATACCCCATTACAAAAAAAAAATATTAAATTAAATATAACACTTTCGCCTCCGGAACTAAAACACGCTTGAAAAGAAGAGACAAAAGAGCTTTACAAAAAGCAATAACTACCTTTTGAATATTTTTAGCCCGCACATATATGTATACATATGCATATATTTTATAACTTTTTCCAAATGTGAAAGCCAAACATTTTAAATTTATTTAAAAAATATTGAATTTTGAGTATTACCAAGTCAAGTAAACAAAATGCACTATGCTCAATATGTATTTTTCATGTTTTGGAAGTATTTAACCGTAAAAGGGAACACAACTTCTGGTTTTTTCTGAAGCAAACTGTGCACATAGTCATAAATAAAGTCTACTACTTCGGGGTGGCTCTGCAAATAGCTCATGGCATTCTCCAAAGTAAGTTTCTTCTTTTTTTGATAATGTTTAAAAAGCAAATTGTCTGTTTTCCACATCAATTCCAGTTTTGGTAAAATACGTTCTTTAGGTTTCGGTGGTGAACGTATTGCATGTAACAGGTAGTTATATCTGGGCCAAAAGTGTAATACTATTTTGCCATTGGATGTAAAGTATGTTTCTGATGATTCTTCCACGACATCGTTAAAATACTTTAAGTTTTTAACAACAATTACATCTGTAAAGCTACGATAGAATATCCGAACCTTTTTTCGTTCTTTCTTTACAGTGATGACTCCGCGCAAAACTTTTCCTGAAACGAAAAATAATTAAATTAATATATTCCTGGTAAGATGAAATGAATCTCGGGGGTCCAGAACATCAAATAATTACTCAGTTTAAAAATTTCGAAAAGTTCTTTCAAAAGGGCGAGTACAACCAGCATGCGACTATTATAGTGTTGTAACGAAAAGTCTTTGGACCAAATTTCAAGTAAATCAAACCATAAATAAGATATTTTTGAATACGTCAGTCGCTGGTTCACTTCCCGAAATTTTTTTCTCGTGCATATCTTCTCAGGAACCATAGATACAATCTCGAAATTTAAAGTCAATCGGTTGGTAGCTTTTGGTGATTTTGGGAGATTACTGGATCTTTCCAAATGGACATTAGATTTTTATATTATTTTATGTATACGATATACTAGTACATATATTTTGATGATTAAGATCAAGAAAGCTGTCTGTGGAGAATTAGAGACGCTTTTAATGATAATAGCTAAGAAATATACATATATTGAACATTTTCTTAATAAAAGATGCCTTCACTGCAAAATTACATTTCTGAATTAGGTGTCCTTAACCTTCGCTAATAAAGTGAGTTGTATTAATTTTTGAGTGATTCGATATGTGTGAATATACGGTGTTTAAAAATATATTGCTTCAGGGAAATTTACAATTTTTTGACCTAAAATTTAGTGCGAATTGACCTGTAAGGTCGCTGTGAGTAATAGAAAAGTCGAATATCTAAAAGCGTTTTGAGTGCTGCGATATTTCTGCGTTTGGAACACATTTCCCCACAACGCAAAAATTTGCGATTAAACCAGATGGCAATTACCAATAATTTACTTTTATTATTGACTCATATTTGGTATAAATCAAATAAATTCTACAATATTTATAATTTATCTTAATCTAAAATAAGTTACTTTAATCAATTTTTATTTAGTATATTTAGGCAATAATAAAAATTTCAAGAAATCCGGATCTCGTTTTTTTTTTCATTTTTATTCCTTTCCAATAGTTTAATTATTATTATTAATTATTTATACAAAAGTTTCGTAGATGTTATTATCTTGTAATGATACAAAAAAAAAACTGTAATAAAATATTTTGTTGTTGTCGTACTTGTTGTATTATTTAATTAACATTTGGTTTGTTCACTTTTCCTTGTTTTTCGCTTTGTATTGTATCAATAAATATAACAGTAAATATGAAATCCATTCATTATTGTTGATTTGAAAAATTCTGCACTTCGGTCTTCCAGAAATATCTAACCTTTTACTTTTCCTTATATTGATAATTTATCCACCAAAAAACGAACAAAACTTTTTGTGAAAACTAAAATTAGTTTTAATTTATTTATTCATTTTCTACTTTAGTTTGTTTTTGTGTATGCTCATCACATTATTGAGATCAATTATTTTTATTATACAATCATGCATATACCTAGGTATGTACTTACATACACAAATACATACGAGTATATATTGTTTATTCTCCGCGCGCAGTATATAATTCACTCGTGCATTGAGTAGTCGTGTTGTTTGCATTGAAGTATTCGTTAGAAGGTTTTCTGAATATTTTTAAGAACTAAATTGAGATATGAATTTTTTTGATTACTTAAATCACATTCAAAACTATGTATTTACTTAATAGAAAACAAGACATCTCCAAATATTAGAAAATCTGTGTGATTATTAGTTTTGCCCAATTGTGAAAAGAGTTGGCAATATTGACTTAGAGATCGTTCAAATAGCTTTTTTATTAACCAAAAATAGTTTCCCCCAATGATGGGGATCCCTCATTTTCATTTTTACTTATTTCAGCCACTTTCACAAAGAACCCAAATATGAATGAGGTGATCAACAAAGAAGATAGACGGCCTACTAGAGAAGGATTGCATTAAACTCTACCCTAGTCCACACAGCGCACCCATGGTTTTTGCCTAGAAGAAAAATGGCAAATGGAGACTCGGCGTCTGTTATTGAACTAAACGCCAGACGCCTCCACTCTGAGTTGGCCGTTTTATTAGCACCCCATATCTGAAGAAATGGCTATTGGCTGAGAGCTATTGATGAAAATAGAAAGCAGTACACCGCATTCACAATATCAAGACGAGGGTTGTTCCAATGGAAAGTGATGCCACGCAGACGAGCTTAGATGCATCTTGGTAGTAGCATCTTGGTACAAGTACCAGTGCTACCTCGCTCAGATTTTAAGAAGAGGTTTATTTAAAAAACCAATTCGAGTGATTTTGGATTCGAAGCAGTCCTAACGCACGATTTGAATGACAAGGAACGAGTGGAAGATGAGACCGTACCTGCACAATTTTACGGTAACCACCGAACACCTGTCGTTGAAGCGGCTGAGATCGAGAGATGAATGTGGCGAAGGTGAAGTATCAGAGAGTTTTCTCGACTATGTGGAGGAAGAAAACTGGCTGTATTGGCTGATGTAACTCCGTGGAAGTTATGTGAGCCGACGTTCCAGAGTCCGCGAGTGTTGAAGGCAATCCACCACAAGCCGAGTGCAGGCCAAACGGTCATCCGAAAATTAAATCGGGCGATGACACGTTACTATTGGCCATGGATGTTTGGAGATGTAAGGTGATATATGCAGTAGTGCCAGACCTGCAAACCGAGTTAGCAACAAGATGAAAGAAAAATGCTTACGGTTATGGTAAAAGAACCATGGGCGACATTGTGAGCTCCTATACTACGGTCGAAGTACGGCAACACAATGGCCCTCGTCTTATTAGAAAAATCTGCTAAGCAACCAGCGGAGGTCTCATACGTATATTTAGAGAGAGAATAATAGCCCGTTTTTATAACGGAAAACGGAGCATAATTTATTGTCAAGATATTTAAAATTTTTTTGTTTACTATCGTATTTATGCATTTCCATCATTTCCCTGTACGAGGCAGCAAACATTGCATTTTCGAGAAGCAGCGAGAACGAAGACGGTGGGGAAATGTGCAGGATAAGCAGCCCTATATCGGTATCAAAGATAATATGATTCGGAACTCTTTATCTCGTGAGAGAGTCAATAAATGTGAGTTTTTTATAACATTTTCAAGCCTTGCCACTACGGTGAAACTACAGTCGGATGTAATTGAATAAAAACTTTGAGTATAATTCCTGCCCTTATAATTAATCATTAAATTTACTTTGCACCCTCTTAAAACCCAATTTTAATAAAAATAAAGAAAATTCTATCCGACCAGCTAATCTTTAACTTAAAAGATATATGTATTTTAATGCACTATTATTGTCCAATAGAATTTTTTCAGTAAAAAAGTGAAGCCTCGCTTAATGTTTACTGTCTCAGTTGTATTTTTATGTTATTAAATATTTTTCGAAACTATTTACTACTATTTATTCGAAAAATGTGTCTCTTAAATTGTACTTGAACACTCGGCCTTATATTTTTGGAAAGAATTTAAACCTTTGTGTGCTTGGCAATACCTATAAAATTACTTTTTAGCGGAATGTGTATGGCAGTTTCCATTTTTAACTCACAGCTGACTGTTGGGCCTCGATATTGTAGTTGGAGCTGGCAACAAAACCTAATCGAGGCCCAAATATAACAGATAAGTGAGTAAGTTTCACATCATATTATCTTTGTCGATATCTTACGGCCGCGAAGACCAAAAGAAGCGGCGTGTCGAGTGGAGCAGACGACGAAGCAGCAACTGAAGAGGCCCACCCACTCCGCTACCTTTACGAAGTAGAATTGGTTAGAATATATGTTAAATTCCACACGTTCAGTGAAATGCACCAATTGTCATCCTTTACCCACCAACCTTAAGTACTTACCATTGGTTTATTTGATTACCTCTACAGTATTTTCAATTCAATTTTTCAAACACACACAAGATGGAGTCTGTTCACAGTTAAGTGTTTTAACGAATTAACAATGAACGAAGTGCCAAATTAACAAATCCGGCCTGAATATTTCTAGTGCGATCCGTTTTTAACACTTTTTAGTTCATATTATTTAAATATCAATATACGCGTGTGGAAGCTTTATGTCCCCACATTATTTACTCACCGTACACATTTATCGTATAGTATTCAAAGTCTCCCCAAAAGTTGTTTACTATCAATTGCCTCATTAGTAATTGTATACCGCCATCCATAATAAGTACTGGCATTCGGTCCTTGATATTGATTTCCGTTTTATATTTTTGAGAATCAGCATTCATTTTCGTTTCCCGAATTACTAATAAATTATCTCCTTTATTGCGTGCTTCCATATTTTTCTCCTGAAGGCAGAGAAAATATCGGTTAATAAATATTATTACTTAGACGTATGTGTATATATGACCAACGATTAAATGAGTGTTTGATTCAGAGCTACGCACACACTACTAAAAGGGTATTTATCAAAGATCACCTGTTGGTATACAATGCAAGTACGGAAATAACGTTGATTGCTGATCGTAAGGACGATTTATGCTATACCATAGAAAGTAGCAAGTGTTGCTCTGTTTTAAAGTGGCATTATCGGTTGGATTACCTAAATGCTGCTAATATAACAAAATTGGTAAAAGATGATTAAGTTACTGCATCAGATATTGGTGACATATCTGTATTACCGTTCAAAATAGCTAGAGTGTCATGTTGAAGATTATATATTCTGACGTTGTTGAAGTGTGGCAGTTTATTGACGTGTTTCTAAATGGAAGGTTGAACGAAAAGAACTTCATGAGGGTGCCAGATAAGCTATGTGATGTTTTACAATAAATAACAATGAATTTGATAAACATGGCGATGGTTATAGTAACTCAACAAACCAAATGAAGGAAAGAGAGGAATGTGGTACTACCTATAAACATAAATTAACTCTGTAGGGGCTTAAACAAGGTGGTCGGCAGTAGTTCGCCAAACTTAAGTCGTACCTTATATGAGAAAAAGTTATCTTTACTGATAGTGTATGAAGATGATCTACCTAACGAGTGCTTAAAATTATTTACAATGTAGGAGAACAACTTTTGAAATATTTCGATATTAAGGACATTGGAAGAGCAAATTATTGACTTGTGCTAGATATACATCAAATGGAAATTATCAGTACTTTAAAGCAAAGTGGCTACATGCAAGTATTGCTAAAGAAATATGGGATGAGCCAATGGAACCGGGTAGCTGTAGATACCTGGGTATCGACCAATGCGAGAAGATCGATACACATTCGTTTCAAACTGCTCAAATGTGTTTCAAATCATGGCGAATTTAACATGGTCAAGTTACTAGAGCCGCGGGCTCAGCTTTTTTCACTAAGCTAATTCGATTTAGTTTAAAGCTGTCAAAATGTTTGTTTACGTTTTTATTTTGTGACTTTTCCAAACGTGAGCCGTTGCGAACGGGGAGTTGGATAATTTACTGTCTACAATGGTATCAAAACCACCGCCTACAAGCTCATCTTGTTTTCCTTCTCTAACTCCGTTTTTTTTTTTTTGGATACTTACTTACTTTACTGACCTAGACACCGCTTACGCCATTATGGCCGATTTCACAACATTGCGCCATTCGCTTCTTCCTTTTGCTGTTAGGCGCCAATTGAAAACACCAAGTACAGCGAGGTCCCCATCTGAATGGTTTTTCGAACGGAGTGGAAGTCTTCCCCTTTCTCTGCTTCTACCGGCGGGTACTGCATCGAAAACTTTCAAAGCTGGACTATTCGTATCCGTCCGGACCATATCCCCTAGCCAACGTAACCGCTGCTTCTTGATTCTCCGAACTATTGCAATGTCGCCGAATAACTCGTACAGCTCATCGTTCAATCGTCTGCGATATTCGGCGTTGTCAATCTGCAAACAACCTTGAATCCTATGCAAAACCATTCTCTCGAAAACTCCCAACGCCGACTCATCAGATGTTGTTATCGTACATGCCTCGCACCATATAGCAGGACGAGAACGATGAGGCACTTCTAGAGTTTGGTTTTCGTTCGTCGGGAGAGGATTTTACTTTTCAATTATCTAATCAGTTCAAAGTAGCACCTGGTGACAAGAGTTATTTTGTGCCGGATTTCAAGGCTGACATTATTTTTGGTTTGATGCTGGTTCCTAGGTAGACGAAATTATCTACGACTTCAAAGTTATGACTGTCAACAGTGACGTGAGCACCGAGTCGCGAATGCGATGTCTTTTTGAGTGGTGACAGGTGCCCTCGTTCACTACCAGACCCATATCCTTCGCATCCTTATCTAGTCTAGAGAAAGCATAACTCACGGCGCGGTTGTTGAGAACAATAATGTCAATATCGTCGGCGTAAGCTAGTAGTTGTACACTCTTATAGAAGATTGTGCATTCTCTATTCAGCTCTGCGGCTCGTATTGTTTTCTCCAGCAATAAATTAATAAAGTCACACGATAAAGAATCACTCTGTCTGAAAATGAGTATGCTATCGAACGGCTCGGAGAGGTTCTTCCTAATTCTGACTGCGCTTCTGGTGTTGTCTAGCGTTAGCTTACACAGCCGTATAAGTTTTGCGGGGATACCAAATTCACACAGCGGCGTGAAGTCAGCTCCTATTCGGCGGCTTTAAAAACGGCGAAGAAGGGGTGGCTCTCCACTTCTTTTCTTCTCTTCTGGTCAATGGTTGACCTACCAGGTCTGAAGTCACACTGATAAAGTCCAATCAGTTTGTGGACACTGGGCTTCAGTCTTTCACACAATACACTCGACTGGTTCATATAGGCGATATCAGGCGCAGACTGCTGGGATCACTTTTTAGTGGATTGGGAAGAGCACGCTTAAATTCTAAAAGTTGGGTATGCTTTTGTCGGACCATATTCTGTAAAGTAACCGATGCCATGCTTGAATACTTCTGCCGTTTTTTGAATATTTAATGATATATTTAGCAGTTTGTTGAATGACCGACATAACTAATAACCTAACGTTGCCTAAGTCAAAGCTGTGTGGCGCACACATGGGACTTTACGGTAGGCCAATCATGGGCTTATATAATTTCTTCGAAAAATTTTGGTAGCTGATGACAGTAGGTGCACGTCTTAACAATTTGGTTTACTAAATGAACTGCCTCTCGCCAGGGAATGTCCACCCCTCCGAGTGTATTTCTGACATGAAATAAAGCTCCTCATATAAACATCATCAGCCGTTTGGAGGCGGCTTAGTAAAAGTAGGCCCCTCCAGTTGTTGGTAAAACTTCAAGAAGCAAAACCACAAATTGGAGGAGGATCTCGGCAGAAAATTGCATAGCGCAAATAATACATATTGTATATAAACGAAGATCAAAGTAGACCATTGGGATCTCACCACGAAGATAGCATAATCCTCTTTTGGTAGATATTGACTGTGGATGTCGATGCTTGTAAATAATCCATTTCTGCATTTAACATTTTTTCTAAGAAAGTGTGAAATTAGTATAATTCGAACATTTTATAATACGCCTGTTGAGTCGAAAGACCGCAGTATAAATTTCATAAAATGGCATTCGAGCTTTTGGATGTGCCTATAATTCTGAGATTGTCGCTGAGGTTTCGACTAGTGACAGTCTTTAATATTTTATTTTAATTTTTAAAGTAGAATAAAATAATTTAAGCCACGTAATAAAAACAACAAGAAATATGCTGTTTATGTCATAGTTACACAAAAAAATTAAAATTGTGTGCACTTTTAACCTAGAAATGAAAAGTTCGCCATGTCGCATGAGCAACATTTAGCCAACTCGATGAAATGTTAGTGTAATGCATAGTTAACCCAATATTTAATTAAAATCAGCCAAAACAGATATATGATGCTGGGGCATGCAATTGAAATGCTTTCTTTTCAAACACACAAATTTAAATTTTATTTTATTTCTAGAAGCGATTTTGTAATGTTAAACGAGATACTTCACAAGGGGGAGGTTTTTCTGCAAATAAAATCCAAATTGAATATATACTCGTATAGCTCAAAAAGCGCAATGGAATCAGGAAGACATTTCTAATGCATTATGTCTATATGCGTCAGATCTTGTGGTGTTGAATCTTTTTATGACGTGTTCCCTGTGCAGCAGTGGAAACGCAAATCGGAACGCTTCAGTTGAAGCTATGCAACAAATGTCACAGCTGAGTATCAATGAAATAATATGCGTGATATCATTTGACGAAATGAAATCTTCGAGTTACGTGGGTATAATTATCCGGGGTCGCTGAAACTTTGGAAGCTAGTGATATTTTAAACTTTTATGACTTCTACTCCCAATTAGGAAAGCATTTAGAGTGGATAATTTTGGCTTTGCAAACCGTAACGTTCCCAGTAGTTGCCGTTTTTTAGAAATGAAATCTACAAGCCGAAAACGTTGGAAGGATTCAAATGTGAAAGCTGGTAAGACCTCTTTTATAAGTACATGCTAACATTTATCCAAATAAAAAAGAGGTTTTGAAAATTTTTTCTTTGTTGATGCACCGTTGATAATGATAAAATTAGGTTTGTTTAGGGCTAAAAATAGTTCGAGCTGCCAAACAACAGAGCAAGTTAGAGCAACTTGGAGTAAAAAGCTCGTGAAACATTTTTCGGGCAACAATTTTCAGATGCGAATGTTTGACTTTTCTGTTGTAAACATAATAGAAAAATTTGAATTTCTTTTTTTCATATAAAGAATTTCTTAAAAAATTTATAATTTTTACAGTCATTTGTATTTAAGTTGATCGCGATTTGAATTGCTCTATTTCTGCTAAGAGCAGACTCATGAAAAAAATTAGAGCAAATAAGTTTAACGAAAAATGTATCTTTACAAGACTGCATTGTTATAAAACGATACTAGTAGTACTTTAGAGTTGAATATTACAGTGATAAGCCGGGGGGAAAGATACACCAGTTCCTCGGTTATAGTATAGACTGGCAGGAAATAGTTCGTGCGTGCAGAATTTGGGAAGTATCTAGCTTAGGAAGGGCTTCATTTTTTACTTCCCAATAGCACATTACTTACTAATTTACTGGCGCAGACACCGCTTACGCGATTTTGGCCGATTTAACAGCATTGCGCCATTCGTTCCTTTTTTGTGCTGTTTGGCGCAAATTCAAAATACCAAGTACAGCCAGGTCCTTCTCTACCTGGTCTTTCCAACGGAGTGGGTTTCCTCCTCTTCCTCTGCTTCCATCAGCAGGTACTGCATTATACACTTTCAAAGCTGGAGTATTCGTATCCATCCGGACCACATGACCTAGCCAGCGTAGCCGCTGCTTCATGATTCTCCGAACTATATCAAAGTCGCCGAATAACTCGTACAGCATCGTTCCATCGTCTGAGATATTCGGCGTTGCCAATGCGCAAAAGACCATAAATCTTACGCAAATCCTTTCTCTCGAAAACTCCCAACGCCGATTCATCGGATATTGTCATCGTCCATGCTTACGCACCATATAGCAGGACGGGAACGATGAGGGACTTGTAGAGTTTGGTTTTCGTTCGCCGAGAGAGGACTTTACTTTTCAATTGCCTACTCAGTCCAAAGTGGTACCTGTTCGCAAGAGTGATTATGCGTTGGATTTCAAGGCTGACATTATTGTTGGTGTTGATGCTAGTTCCTAAGTAGACGAAATTATCTACGACTTCAAAATTGTGCCTGTCAACAGTGACGTGGTAGTTAATTCGCGAATGCGATGACAGGAAATATTTCGTCTTGTCCTCGTTCACTACCAGACCCACAAATAAAAATATGATTGATACTTTATAGCCGCTGGAGCGATTTTTTGCTCTACTCCATTTTGTGGAGAGTACCTCAAATCACGGGACTTACAATTTATTTTAGACCAAATCCATAGACTTACTGTTTCTTTTGTGGATCTTTTATTTAATGTGTAAAGTGCACTCGGAGTGGTTGAGCGGGAGCCGCAATAAAAAGGTTATGATTTCGAACCCAGGCGAGACTAATATCTAAAATAGTNCCATATGAAAATTAAAATCTAATGAATTAATGACGACCCCCGCAAATATTTTAAGGATTACGATATTAGGGCGTTCACCTGGAATATCCGGTTCTTTATTTGGCTCGCAGACCATCATGCAAGCAATACGTAAGAGGAAACCATACCTTAGAGGCTATAGATTTACGATCGCGACTGATCAGCTGTTGCTCAAGTTATCCCTCAAGTCTCAAGAGGAACAATTCCTTTTAGTGACGCAGGAAGAAACAGCAGCCCCGGCAAATCGTAAATAGAGAGGATATCAGAGGTAAGTGCTAACGCAACAAAATATCCTGACTCTATAGAAGAGGGGAAGTTATGCCGAAATATCAATCGCAAGGGCTACTGCATACGTATATACGATGGAGAGCCGGTTCTACTTCCAACGGTATTTTTGGTCTGATATAAATGAGCTGAAAAAAATATTTTAAATACATATTCGTAAGAACATCAAAATAATTTTTTCATATAACGCGATATGATCTTTTTGTTTTTGCTGATATTCCTGTTC